TTGCGTTATAAAGGTTATTTTTCATTTCATCGTGGTGTGCCCGAGGTTGTTCTGCCTAAACAGAAACCAAAAGGTAAATTGTGCTTTCACACGTGTTTTAATTCAAGAACTTTCCATTAGAACCCCCTAGATCGAAAGGAAATTGTTCACTAGAAAAATAAAGCTCCCTACATCTGCCTTGTGTTGAATTTACTTCAAGCACTCCCATCTCGGTTTGATAGCAAGTAGTAGAACCCTCTCAGACTATCCTGTAATACTGTGTAAAGAGTATAGGCTTTGTATTTAGCTGCTGCATAATTTAAATTAGTGTGCAAACTAAGAAGAGTTGTTTGGGAATAAGTAGTGTGTGAGACAACATGAGCACGAGGGTCTTCCACACTTGTACAACTGTTTAAAATCCTGAGGGATGATATTGTGACTTCATAGGAACAATGGTTACTGGCCATCCAGCATTTATCTAATCCCACCAGCCAGGTGCTCTCTGTTCTAGCATGTCCATCCCCTTGATAGTTTCTCACCAAACTGACGCTGTAATTTTCAGTTGTAAAATAATGATATCTTTACTGCACCAACGGGACCCACAGCTTGACCCACAACTTGACCTACAGTTTGACTTTCAAGCACAGAGTATAGTCTAATTTAGGAAGGATATAAAACATCTATGCTGGTCAGAAACGGTGCCCAAATGTTCTACTGAAACGTTCTACCAGTCCATCAGTCTGGATTAAACTATTGATCTTGTCATTAAACTGCCAGAATTTAAGTGTCTCCACATGTCCCTTGTCACCCTCACTCCATCCTTTTAAGAGTGGGAATAAAATGACAGGAGGCTTTATAAAAGACCTGCTGTAATTAGTGAGCAGGTGCAAATAAACAATCACAGGGGAAATCAACCCACAAGACACAATATTTAGCTTTTAAGCAAGGGTAGTAGAGAAACTACCATCCAACACACAAGAATACACATACATACATGCACGCAGACAAACAAACTCTCTCTCTCTCTCACACACACACACTGAAGAGCTATTCCCTCCCTGCTCCTGCTCCCTGACTCCTGTCTCTGTAGAGCAGAGTGGGTTACTGTGGGACAAAGGTTGGTGCAGACAGCACAGGCCACCTGTTAAGAAAGAAAAAAAAAAAGCTTAATCAAAGTGAAGGAATCTCCATGACCCCCATGCAGATTAATATAAACCCATGGTTCTTTACAGACTCCGATCCCTCCACTCCCTCCGGAACGCCTGCATGGGGCTGCCGCACACGTTGCCTGGCAACAACTGATGAGAATGTGGTGTTGGAACTCCTATGATTAAATCTCCTGGGGTCAGGGGGTTTGACCCCTCGGTGGCAGAGTGTTGTCGTTATTATCCCCCCAGAAAAACCATGGTGAGAATGAAGAAATGATTAGGTGGAAAATCTTGTCTCAGTTGTAGCTGGCTTTGTTCACCGAGTTTTCCCAGATTTATCGGATAATTCTCAGAATACTTTTTTTGGGGGAGGTAGATTTCATGAGGTGTCTAAACTGATAGACAGTCACACAGGCAGCAGTCATGCACTGAGAGGAAACGGAGGAAATACATAAATTGAGGTCCTGCCAGCCACAGATCCTGGTTCCTTTTCATCTTAGGTTCCGTTTATTTAAACATTTCGGTCCAACCGACAAGAGGCGCGCCTTGGAAGGAATGCGTACTAAATGCCACAATCACGCTCAAATTAGTCAGGGCTGCCGAGGGATTCCTCCGGGGTAGATTTCATCATGAAAACGACCTGAGCTCCGTGCCTGTTAAAATGTCTGACCAACGCCTGGGGAACGCCTGTGAAACGATCCCAATGTTGCAACAGAGGTTTTTTCGGAGGAGCAGCAGGTGCAGGGAGGCTCAACCCAGGGACAGACGCCTCTGTCTCTCTCTGTGCGTGTTTCTATCTATGACACATGACGTGGCTCTCTCTGTCCTCTCCTCACCTAGCTGTGCTTTCACTCTGCATGGCAGGCAGCTGAACTGATCCTTGATTATCTGTCCTTAGCCAACTCCTGAATCCCCCTTACTCAGACATGATCCGCCCACCAGCTTCGATAGAAGCATGTCTCATGCATGCCGCCATGGTTTGATCTAAGCCCTCTGCCTCCAGATAGGACAATCTCATGAAGTAACGTCCATTTATTAGGAGGCTCTGACTGTGAGGGTGACATCATAGAAATAGAACTACTAGAACAGACAAAGCCCCTCAGACCACGGTAATCTGACTGTACCAAGATAAGAATGTGGGCACAGCACTTCACAGTGCCCTCATGGGCACATTCAATGCGGCTGACACCATACCCACTCCTCATCCCATCCATGCACACTCTGGTTGCTTCATGTTCGGAGAATGTCCTGGATCAGTGTGGACCTGGGATTATCATCAGGACACAGGCTGCTAAAATGGAATGCTGCTGCCGCCTTAGAAAACATGCTTATAAGGACAGAGAGGGTGCTGTGTGTTTTCACAGGCTCTCCATGGCTCACCATCACGGCCCACTTTGAATCTCCATCTCCATTGTCATCCAGGGGTTGACTGAATCGTAATGGTTAGACAATGAAGATGAACTACTGCACATGGGCATCATCATTGGGGAGAATGTCAGTGGCTGCCTCCCAAATGGCACCCTATTCCCTATGTAATGCACTACTTTTGACCAGGGCCCATAGGGTGCCATTTGGGACACAACCTCAGTTATCATCCAAATAATCATTCAAGCAGAGATCACAATGGATGGGATGACAACCGACATGTGCAGACTGTGGCAGACAAATATAAGTATCCAATAAAACATGATAATTCCTCCCAGTTCCATGGCTCTGAGTTTGATTTGCCCTACTGCCCCATTGTCAGCTGGATCCCACTGTTCTGTGGTTGATTTGTGCACCTGGCAGACTTCATTTAAGGGTGTTGATGGATCCTCTCGCAGGCGGTCACAGGGAGTGACCAAGCGACCTTCCCCCTCCCACCCCCTCTCCTGCCTTCCCAGGCAGCGCCCCTCTGTATGGGATAACAATATGAGGGGGGCTGGGGGGGTACAAAGAGGGGCTTGTTTCTAACCTAACCCTCCCTTATGTTCAACATCTTGGGGACCTAGCTATCATCTTCATTTCATGGATTCTGAATACAATGACCACACACTATCAGTGTCAAATACAATTGGAGACGTGAACATATCATGTTTGAGGTCTCTCCTTTTCATCTCAGCTGTGGTTAAAGTATTTGACATTCAGACTAGAGGAGAAATGAATCAACATTATACAAATCCATCTGTAATACTACTGCATGGCCTAGTTCTGTGTAGGTGCTGTTGGCAATGGAGACTTTAGTTCACCCTCCTACAGTAAAAAGAACCCACACAATGCTTACATTATATTCCACATCAGTGTGATTGATGTAGCGGCCACAATGGAGGGAAGTATTGGTCTGCATTATATTCTTCTAAACATCAACAGTTAGAGCTGGTTAGAGAGAGACCTCTACTCTGCTCACAGTGCCAGACATGTAAATAACCTCTCCTCTAGGAGGGAGGCAAGCAGCAGAGGAACCACTATCAATTCAATTAACTTCAAAGGGCTTTATTGGCATGGGAAACATATGTTTACATTGACAAAGCAACTGAAATAGATAATAAACAAAAGTGAAATTATCTAAAATTAACAGTAAACATTACACTCACAAAAGTTTAAAGCAATAGAGACATTTCAAATGTCATATTATGGCTATGTACAGTGTTGTAATGATGTGAAAATAGTTAAAGTACAAAATGGAAAATAAATAAACATAACACTCCCCCCCCCCCCTATATAATCCCTCCCATCGCTGGTAGAACATACAAGTACATATATTTGTCTTAGTGAGACCATCCCCACACAGAATGGAAGTGGATCTCTCAAGGTTTTCCTAAACAATGCTGTCCCCAAAACCTCTTCCATTGACATGAATCACTGCAGACAGACGCTTTTATGGCACTGACTCCCTCTAGAGGCGATGGGACAGACTGCTTCTCTCCTCTCCTCACTGTCATGATATGGCAATGATCATGCCTACTACCTACCTACAGATGTTCAGTTAAGCTCCCCTTCTTAGAGGCCTTCTCGCTTTGTACACCATACAAGAACAAATAGGTTAAAGAAAATATATACCATTGGCCAAAGCGCTTTGTTACATAAACATGCGCCCTCCGTTCTGCATAACCAACTGGTTACCGCGCATAATGACAGCATTGATATGCAATATGCTACCTCTCCAGAGATTCATTTAGAGAGGGTCTCCATAATCAAACTGAAGAGCCATAATTGCCGTGGAGAATTACATCAGACTAAAATGGAATATATTAAGTATCTTCAAAAGACGCGAGCTAAGGAGGAGGATAATTGTATAACACACTTTCCTCGACAGGCCCCCTCAAACCAGATTAGGATATCCTTGGAAATGTCTCTCTCTCCCCCTCTCTCTCTCAATGTGAGAGTTACGCGACCGCAGGTCCAGTGGTTCTTCTCGATGCGCACTAGACCAAGCTCGCATGTTTGTTTGTTTGTTTATATATAAGCAGAGAATGGGAGAGTTGTCTCTTGAAGTTTCAAGTGATTGTACATCAAAAACGACAAAATAAACAGCATGCCATGCAATAATGCTTTCTAGCACAAGTGCACTCCTTTTTGTGTTCTTGCTGATTGCAATTAGTGCCATCTACAAAAATTAAAACGTTTAAAGTGTGTTTCTCTGTAGCCAGAAATAACGGTAATCAAAAATAATACAAGTGTATCATAAAATCGAAATTAAAATGACTATTTGGCCATAAACACTGAATACCTGAAATTACATGCGTAAACAGCGCAATTTCCCATTGATACATTATCAACACCATGCCAAGTAAAAAGCTTCTCAACGGAGGGGTCAAACCCGAAAGATATCTGACCTGGGGGGGCTTGCCCTCTAAATAAACTTTCGAGCATGTAGAGGGAGACGGCAGAGGGCTGAAGTCATAAGAGTGCGAGTTGGAGTGAGGGAATGAGTATTGCACGCAAAGCAGAAAAGAGCTGAAACTGCGCAGATTATTTTTTGCTTTAACTGTCGACCAACGAGAGGTGCGCGACAATCAAGAGAACCAACACATTCTCACCTCATCGAAACTTGGTACTTTATTACAGTTCGGTGGTGCTGCTGCTGCCAGTGACGCGCGCGGCTTCCAGTTTTGGTCTACTCCGTTAGATGATGGGGATGACGCGACGACCTCCTACACGCAGGGCACAATAAAGTAGCCCTCACACCTGGACGTGCGGCGAACTTCGAGAGAGTATCAGTGGAGCATACAGGAAGAGGACAACTGAAACTGTATCAATATGCCAGCCTCGAATATATGATCTACGCTTTCTTACTTTGAGTATCTTATTTGTCCCGCGGTGGATGATAATCTAACGGTTTGGTTGTGGGAATATGCTCACTACGGATACCTGTTTTGGTCTCGCTTTGTGGCACACATAAGGATTCTATCCAGGATGTTACTGTCTAAACGGCCCAGGTGTCATTGGGCCATCGTAAATCACACATCACACTCTGCGCAGAGCAGGGGATTCTGCTCTTTCTAGGAATAAGACAACACATTCCCTCTCAAAAAGTGGAATCAAAGCTGCACTTTGCTGGAGGACATTGACATTGGCTATACAAGTCATCATCTCCGGGTTACTATGCAATTACAACTGATCTCCTTTGTTTTGATCTTGCACTGCATGGAATACACTGATTGTCAGCAGCACCCCTCCAGGCACCGGCAACATCAACGTGAGTAAAGTAAGCCCGCGCATGCAGTGAGGTGCTCGTGCGCACACATGCACCTGGTCTCTGTTCCATTCAACACTACTGGAGTTTTGTAGTGCCTATCATACAATTTGACATAAGTCTTTTCATGTAGATATATAAATAACAGAACAATACGGGCACTGTATCATCGTTAACCGATATGATTTGAACTACACATACTTGACAATGAATTTTACAATGAAAGATCATAGTATGGCTTTAGGAAATATGCCTAATTGGGGTGGAATGCTTTTTAGTTGAGGTGGAGATGTAATAACATAATCCTGTGGTTCAATCTCTATTACGAAATATGAAACTTCACATATATTAATTTGGCAAAACAATGTTGATAGGGTGGGTAGCCTATAATTTATATGATACCGTTTTTTTAAGTACAGCCCGCATTTAGTTATAATCGAGGACAACTCAATCAATCTAAAAATGTGTTGTTATCAAATCAATATGTAATTTAAATTCATAAACTTGTATTTTAATCACTAGGCAAGACTGAGTGCCTCTGTGGAACTCACTATATTGTGTCTACGAAAGCAATAGGCACACGTTAAGTCTCTGCAGCGGCCAATTTTACGCACATTTCGTCCTCAACCACACCGCAGTCAATCATTGGACTGCATGGGGTTCAACATTACAGGACCCTCGGGGGTGTCATTTTTTACTGATAAAATTCAACCAGTCACTGTTCCCTGACAATTTGCCTTGAAGTGTATTCCACAAAGCTCCATCAGCAGTGCGCGCTGCATCCCCTAGTTCCCATCGCTCTCTAGCGGCCAGTGGCAGAGCACTTTTTACGCGGCATGTCTGCCGACAAAGTATGTTATAGCTTTCTGATCTGAATTATTCATTACATACAAAGTTCGTCTGAAGTGTATTATATTTGCATTTCACTGATGTTATGGAATGTCTGTAGTGCTTGTGCTCTTTGACAAACTCCGTGCAACACTGAGTGGCCATCCAACCGCTGTTAGAGGATGCTGATTCAGTTATCTTCTTGATTGTAATAAATGTAGAATATAAGATTGTGCATCTAATATGAAAATACATGAAAGCCTGTCCATTTTCATCTTCAAAGGGCGTTCTGTGTAGAATTGCCAAAGCTGTGACATCTTTTTTTGCTTACCATAACTGTGACTTTGTGGTGATAATATTTTGTGGTGTTTAAAAAATGGAAGAGGGAACTCATATGTTCATATTTAGTAGGCAATTCAGAATACAACAATTTTTCTGTTAGAATTTCAGAGGGGTTAGTATTTTGCATTAAATTATTTACAGTATTTCGAAGCTCTGATGCAAAACTATCATCATATCCAAAACACAACAAAGAAGCTCACAGTAAATCAGTAGACACTTTACTTTTTTTTTTGCTTCCTAGATGTTCAGAGTATCAGCAGCATTGACCATGGCAGGGTTCTCCAACCCTGGTCCTGTGTGTTAGTGCTGGGCTGGAACAAAAGCCAGCACTTCCAGTAGTTCTCCAGGACCAGATTTGGAGAACTCTGTATGAAGGTATCCGTTCAGCATCTTTCTTTAACCCTAATAGGTGTCATGTTCTGTGTCAAGTAACTCCACAGTTCTCACCCTGTATCTCATCAGTAGTATCGTGGCGCTTGCTTTAATATTCTCTCTATGCACTATATTGCAGTTCCAGATGTGCTTCCAGATGTGCTCTTCTGTCTTAGTAGAATGGTTGAGTATGGCATGCCGCACCTGTATGCCAAGTAGATTGTTATCTGGAAAGGTAGGCTAGTAACCAACAGTAGTGGTGTTTTGGGGTGCGTCCCATACACATTGCCTGGAGAAGAGTTTAACGTCTTAAGAACCACTTCTTCAACATGATATATCATCTTCTTATCTAAACCGCACATGCCTGCGTAGAAATTGTGGGTCCACATTGTTTTTTTGGGTGCGTTCCAGATAGACAAACTGTGGGCCTCCCCTCGTGCATCGCAGCCTACTTAGCTGGTGCTAATTGAAGGAGGCCGACCTGACATATGACTAACTGTGATAGTCAGACAGAGAGAGCAGGGTGAATGAGCTCTCAGTCAGGGACCTGACCAGGCAGTCAACTGGCCAAAAACAGTTCACTTCCTCCTGCCCTTGATGCATCTACAAATGAGAGATATGAATGCCTGAGAGCAAACAAGATAGCGGAATGATTTCTAGAATAGAGGCCAGAATGATTTCTATGTGTTCTAGAATAGAGATGCCAGAATGATTTCTAGGTGTTGCTAGAATAGAGGCCAGAATGATTTCTAGGTGTTCTAGAATAGAGGCCAGAATTATTTCTAGCGGGTCTAGACATGTTTAAAATAGTCTCTAGGTGTGAATAACAGATTGGATTCCTAATAAAGGGAAAGAAGGATAGATAATGAAATTAAAGGAGGGAGGATATATGCTGAGGTTAAACACCACAGCGTTTGATGAAGAAATAATCTTGGAAAGGCAAACTTTTTGTTTAGGTCTGTGCTCTATGACTTGCATGTTTATCTTCATCATTCTGCTGTTAACCGTTTTGTTTATATCTACACATGATGTTCAAAATAATCATGGTTGTTTTCATCTTGTGGTCAATGATTTTAACTTTACAAGTGGTTCAAGCAGTTCAGGCAATTGAAACCTTACAGTACAGACCTCACAGTACAGACCTCACAGTACAGACCTCATGCAGGAACATTTGTGTTGTGGGTATTCAAGCCGCCCAATTGATGTTGGGCAATTCCATGGTAACAGAATTACGCTGAGACTCAGATTTTTCACTTTAAAATGTATACCAAAGAAAAACCATTGATTTCAAAGTTTAACAAACCATATCCACAAGGACTGCTTTTAACAATTTCCACTGACAATGTTACAAAAACCAATTTCCAGGAAGAACTGTGAAGATGCTAACTTTAGATTTTACTGTAATTCTGTTACCAAACTTAGCATCTGCACAGTTTTTCCAGTAAGTGTTTTTTTTAAATTTCCTATGTAAATTGTTCAAAGAAGTCTTTATGCAAGAGTTGTATGGTTTTTGTTTGGCATACATTTTAAAGTGAAAATTCGTAGTCTTCGCCTAATTCTGTTACCATGGGATTGCCCTGTTGTGTCAGTGCGAGCTAGGCAAGTGCAGGCAAAATTCCTCTGTGTTAAAGGTTCAGTGAATTAGGGGGCCTTGGCAGGAACACATGTGGGCAAATGGACAGCAGTTGTAAAGATTGCTAAGATATGTCAAACACAATCTCCGTGATCTATTGCAATCTGGCAGCTAACCCTGAAGTGAAGGAGGGAAAAAAGGCCAACAACTCACCCAAGGCATGATATGCCAGAGAACTAGGAGGAAAAAACACCTACTGTACACACTGATATGCTCCTTGTGTAGCTCTGCAGTGGTAAATACTAAGACTTGCTCTTACCATGTGTCGCAATCCCAGAAGTTGCTCCTGAGATGTTCCCCCAAAGAACTGATATAGGATCTGCGTACCTGTAAGGGTTGGTGTGAGGTGTGACCCAGGTGCGGTACAGGTTATAATAATAATATAATAATAATGCCGTAACTTTATAGGACTTACAGTGGATTGTGATGGTGGTCCGGATGAACCACACCTTGGCGTTGCGGTTACAGCTGAGACAGTAGACCACGCAGACAGTAGGCAGAGATGGTGAAACAAGGAACTTTATTGATGGTCCCGAAGCCAGGATACAAAATAACGGACGAACACTAAAAAGAAAGGCAGAGCAAATAAGACACCAAAAAACAGGCAGACAACCAAAAATACAAAATACTAACTATGACTGAAATAATAAAGAAACAGGGAGAACACTTCTCACGTACCTGTCCATACGTCCCGCGATCAGACACTGATTAGTACTGCTTGGCATAGTGAAACTAGCAGAGAAAACTGAGCAACGGAAGTGAGGGCATAAATACACAGGTGAATCAGATAGTCACAGGTGACACCAATAGGAAGATGATTAGTCTCGACTGTGAGTGAGGAGGTGCCTAAGGTTGTTGGAGGATGACACCTAGTGGGTCGCTCCGGAACTGCGACCCACTCCTGTAACACGTACCTTCCCCAAACCCTAACCTTAACCATCAAGGGAGATAATTCCAAACTGACCATATAACAGTGTCTAGCTCTAGCAGTAGCAATCCAATCTGTACTAAATGAGCTCAAAATATCTGACTCAGTCAGGTACTCCCTGTCATTGCATCAGGTAACATGCATGCCATTCTCTGGCCTTTAACCCAGCTCTCGAGGAACACGTGCCCCATTCCTACTATACACCTGTCACCTGCAAGACTACTATTTAGAGCAGGGCTGACCAATCTGGGGCCCACAGCATTTATTATAAAAGAATTTGGAAGTCATTCGGGGTCTCAACTTACTGTTGAGAGATACAGTGAGGGGGAAAAAAGTATTTGATCCCATGCTGATTTTGTACATTTGCCCACTGACAAAGAAATAATTAGTCTATAATTTTAATGGTAGGTTTATTTGAACAGTGAGAGACAGAATAACAACAAAGAAATCCAGAAAAACACATGTCAAAAATGTTTTAAATTAATTTTCATTTTAATGAGGGAAATAAGTATTTGACCCCCTCTCAATCAGAACAATTTCTGGCTCCCAGGTGTATTTTATACAGGTAACGAGCTGAGATTAGGAGCACACTCTTAAAGGGAGTGCTCCTAATCTCAGCTTGTTACCTGTATAAAAGACACCTGTCCACAGAAGCAATCAATCAATCAGATTCCAAACTCTCCACCATGGCCAAGACCAAAGAGCTCTCCAAGGATGTCAGGGACAAGATTGTAGACCTACACAAGGCTGGAATGAGAAGGTAAGCATTGTAGGATTTTTTATGAATTTATTTGCAAATTATGGTGGAAAATAAGTATTTGGTCAATAACAAAAGTTTCTCAATACTTTTATATACCCTTTGTTGGCAATGACACAGGTCAAACGTTTTCTGTAAGTCTTCACAAGGTATTCACACACTGTTGCTGGTATTTTGGCCCATTCCTCCATGCAGATCTCCTCTAGAGCAGTGATGTTTTGGGGCTGTCGCTGGGCAACACGGACTTTCAACTCCCTCCAAAGATTTTCTATGGGGTTGAGATCTGGAGACTGGCTAGGCCACTCCAGGACCTTGAAATGCTTCTTACGAAGCCACTCCTTCGTTGCCCGGGCAGTGTGTTTGGGATCATTGTCATGCTGAAAGACCCAACCACGTTTCATCTTCAATGCCCTTGCTGATGGAAGGAGGTTTTCACTCAATCTCACGATACATGGCCCCATTCATTCTTTCCTTTACACGGATCAGTCGTCCTGGTCCCTTTGCAGAAAAACAGCCCCAAAGCATGATGTTTCCACCCCCATGCTTCACAGTAGGTATGGTGTTCTTTGGATGCAACTCAGCATTCTTTGTCCTCCAAACACGACGAGTTGAGTTTTTACCAAAAAGTTCTATTTTGGTTTCATCTGAACATATGACATTCTCCCAATCCTCTTCTGGATCATCCAAATGCACTCTAGCAAACTTCAGACGGGCCTGGACATGTACTGGCTTAAGCAGGGAGACACGTCTGGCACTGCAGGATTTGAGTCCCTGGCGGCGTAGTGTGTTACTGATGGTAGGCTTTGTTACTTTGGTCCCAGCTCTCTGCAGGTCATTCACTAGGTCCCCCCGTGTGGTTCTGGGATTTTTGCTCACCGTTCTTGTGATCATTTTGACCCCACGGGGTGAGATCTTGCGTGGAGCCCCAGATCGAGGGAGATTATCAGTGGTCTTGTATGTCTTCCATTTCCTAATAATTGCTCCCCACAGTTGATTTCTTCAAACCAAGCTGCTTACCTATTGCAGATTCAGTCTTCCAAGCCTGGTGCAGGTCTACAATTTTGTTTCTGGTGTCCTTTGACAGCTCTTTGGTCTTGGCCATAGTGGAGTTTGGAGTGTGACTGTTTGAGGTTGTGGACAGGTGTCTTTTATACTGATAACAAGTTCAAACAGGTGCCATTAATACAGGTAACGAGTGGAGGACAGAGGAGCCTCTTAAAGAAGAAGTTACAGGTCTGTGAGAGCCAGAAATCTTGCTTGTTTGTAGGTGACCAAATACTTATTTTCCACCATAATTTGCAAATAAATTCATAAAAAATCCTACAATGTGATTTTCTGGATTTTTTTCCTCAATTTGTCTGTCATAGTTGACGTGTACCTATGATGAAAATTACAGGCCTCTCTCATCTTATTAAGTGGGAGAACATGCACAATTGGTGGCTGACTAAATACTTTTTTCCCCCACTGTAATATGAACATGGCATAAGTCATATCAAAACGTGTAGAACTGCAAGGAATTAGCATTCAAAGTGCCACATTCTCTCCATCCCAAAATTAGTAGAATCGCATTCAATTCGTTTTAAAACTGCAACATTTCCTCTCTGCCCCATGGAAACATTTGTAGAATTGCCGAAAATCTGCTTTAAAACTGCAACATTTTCTCCACCCCCCCTTGGCAAAATGCCATTAACTTTAAAGCTGCAAATATTTCTCTCCGCCGCCAAGAGGGGGGCCACTAAAATGTTTTGCCTGCGAGGTGGGGGACTTATGGACCCCAAAACCCTGCACACATTAAAGTTATTAGCCTTATGAACATAGAAACTTGGTTGCAGTTTCTATGCTACAATGGTAAAAAATGTAATACATCTGGTATTACTGCCCACTGGGCACAGAAGTCATTTCAACATCTAGTTTTGATTTACATTTGGTTGAGTTGTCAGCTAACGTGAATTCAACAACAACCAAAAATCACCACATAATTGGATTTCGGTAAAAATGTGTGTAAAATAAAGTCAAAATTCACTTGAGTTCATTTGTATTTGTATTTGTATTTATTAGGGATCCCCATTAGCTGCTGCCAAGGCAGCAGCTACTCTACCTGGGGTCCAAACATATTAAAGCACCTACATTACATATAAAACAAAATGTAAAACAGTACTTCATCTAACATTATTATACCACTACATATCTACAATACAAAATGTTTAATACCACCATACAACAATATCACAATGTAGGCGTATGCATGTGTCTGTACCTTTGTGTGTGTCTCTTCACAGTCCCCGTTGTTCCATAAGGTGTATTTTTACCTGTTTTTTAAAATCTGATTCTACTGCTTGCATCAGTTACCTGATGTGGAATAGAGTTCCATGTAGTCATGGCTCTATGTAGTACTGTGCGCCTCCCATAGTCTGTTCTGGACTTGGGGACTGTGAAGAGACCTCTGGTGGCATGTCTTGATGACGTTTTGCAATCAGTTTTCCAATTAATTCAACGTTATCACATTACATTTTTTTGTTGTTGAAATGACGTGGTAACAATGTTGATTCAACCAGTTTTTACCCAGTTGGGGTAATCAGAATGTGTGTCAAGTTATATGGCTATGATTTGATTAATGTTTGAAGTGACATTTCATAATTACCTTCAAAAACGCTATTGTTTCGACCATGAAAAGCTATTGTTCCTTAATTTTTAAAATAATATGTCATTGTTTGGCCCGCGCCCACACTCAATATATTTGCCCACAACCCAAAGTTGAGCACCACTGGTTAAGTAACCCAAGTCACCACTGACCTCACATCGTGCCAACCCAAACCATAATGTGCTGGCTCATATATGATATTTTCACAGGCTTTCCTGCTGTTCCAGCCTATGTCAGTAGATCTTCAGGCCAAAACACTAATTCACTTGGTCAGCTTAGTCGTACTCACTTACAGCTCATGCTGGTAGTCCTAGTATGTACCCAACTTCTTCTCCTCTCAACCAGTCTGTTTTCATCTCCTCCGTCCTCTGAGGTCAAGCTCTGTAATTCAACAAGAGTTGAGAGTTAAGCCATTTGACATACTGCCCTACAAGTCAGTCACACATGGCTTAAATCAGCAGCAGCAGTCAGGACGCATGAGGTTTCACTTTGTGCCCAGTCCAAGATGACAGTTTATGGTAATGGGACGCTGCTCAGTTCCCCATTTGTCTGTAGACTTCTCACATACTGTGATGACACTGTCCCTCATTCAAAGACACTGACCTACCCTGGGCATTTTATAGCCTCCTTATAGCAGAGGCTGGACAAATGTATGCAGGACTTTAACCTGAGACCAACATTTTGGAAAAGTCTGAATGATAACACTTTCCTGTAAACATTTTGCTTACATAAAACGTTAATAATTTCGACCTGAGCAGGGGCCAACCTCCACACCAACCAACAGAGAAATTGGATGTTATTCACATTCTGGCAGGGCTTTTTTCTGAGCCTATGGAAATATCTCTGACACAAGGCTTGCTATCTGAGTAGGATGTATAGGCCTACAACCAGACGGTTTTGCAATCCCTTTCTAATCCTACCATCAGTCATAATGAAAGCTCAGCCTTTCCCTGTTTCTAACACAGTCGACCCTGTGAACCACGTGGGTCGACAGATAGGCCTATCTTCAACACGAAGCATAATTAAGGTGAATTTGAGACATGTTGCAAATTTGTCAGTGCCAGTGCCGCTTACTCATCTTACTCATTTGGCTGTGTTCGTATTGTCATGGCCAGACAGTCAGCTGGAGGTCTCTTTGAATATTGATAATGTTGCCAAATTGTTTTGTCCTTTTAGTCATAGTACAATGAAGAAACTGTCCTCCTTCTGCGGAGAGAGTGAGAACAAGAAGTGCGCAGCTTCTGGCATTGCGTGCAAACCTTGGTATGCTTGACGTCTCATTTGATTATTTTTTCCCGCCAAGAGAGTGCACAGGCCTGCTTGTTGCCTGTAATGTTTATTATTGAGTTGAACATCTGTAGCATTTTGTCACCATCCAAATGCTTTGTTGGCTATTTGGTATCCTCATTTGGTAGTTGGATAGAAGTCATTATTTTAATACAATTCTACACAACTTCATGCACACAATTTAGAAGACTACAAACAGTTAATATAGTCTGAAGAGCTATATTTGTTTAAATGTAAGCAGTAGTCCCTCTTTATATATATATGAGAGAGAGAGAGAGAAGAGAGAGAGAGAGAGAGAGAGAGAGAGAGAGAGAGAGAGAGAGAGAGAGAGAGAAAGAGCGAGAGATCATCGTCTCACTAGAGGAGAGCAGAATAGAGAGGAGGAAGATAGAAGAGCTAGACTGGATTGATGTCAGATATAGAAGTAGGATCCCCATTTACACAGTAGCCATGAATGTAAATGATACGTACAACATGATAGGGACCTCGTCCGCCATTGTTGGGCGCTAGTGTGACTGGGTGATGATGCACCTTTTGCACATTGTTAAAGGTTGAAAACCACTGTGCTAACTGATTGTATGGTTGTCTCCCAAATGGCAACCTATTCCCTATATAGTGCACTATAAAGTCAATGTTGTGCTCATTTGGGACACATACTAAGTGAAATGTCTAAACTGACTTTTCTCCTTCTGTGCCACATCATCTCCCTCCGTTTACCTGCAGAGATCCCAGGGGTGAGCTCAGGGTGCCAGGGAGGCTGTCTGACCTGCTCTGATTACAATGGCTGCCTGTCCTGTAAGCCCCGCCTCTTTATCTTCCTGGAGAGAAATGGGATGAGGCAGATCGGGGTGTGTCTGCCCTCCTGCCCCAGCGGCTTCTACGGCACCCGCTCGCCAGACAGAAACACATGCACAAGTAAGTTGCATGGCTATCACCAAAGATGTTTATAGCCTACCTTTACTTTTACACTAAGGGCCGGTTTACATAGACAGATTAAGCCTAGTCCTAGACTAAAAAGCTATTTCAACTGAGAATCTCCATTGAACATACTTTTTAGTTCGGGACTAGGCTTAATCTGTGTCCGGTAAACCAACCCATTTTAGTGTATGTATTAAGTCTTTTGGTATCACTGCATGCCAGTCACTCCAAATACATTATTTTGTACACTAAAATCTCATAAAGAGATGTGCATCTATGTGCAGCCAATTTTCCTGTTTTAGAGTGTTGCTCATTCTGACACACTGCATGTTCAACAAATCACTTCTAGAGCAACATAAACGTGCAGGCTGTTGGCTCACTGACCGTGTGTTTCAGAGTGCAGGCCGGAGTGTGATTCTTGCTTCAATAAGAACTTTTGCACGCGGTGCCGAGCAGGTTACTATCTCCACCTGGGCAAGTGTCAGGAGAGCTGCCCAGAGGGCCTGGTCTGCAGCGACACACAAAGGGAATGTGTTCCCAGTGAGTAGAATATTAAACTATTACATTATTATCAAGTCCTGATGGTGTTGGTGTTAGACACGTTACAAAGAGGGGCATAGTGTAGTGTATTAGTGTTACATATTTGTTTCTATGTCTCAATCACACAATGTAAAATGCGGAGTTAAAATAGCATATCGTATTGCATTTGGTTTTCTTAGAATGGAAGAATGCAGTTACATTTAATTGTGTTGTGTGTGTGTTGATGTGATTTGACTCCAGTGCAGGTGTAATATTTATGTATGTGCTGGTCTTTCAGAGTGTCCTGCGGAGTGTGATGCCTGTCTGATCAATGACACGTGTACGAGGTGCAGACCAGGCCTGTACCTGCTGCTGGGGAAGTGTCACCACGTCTGTCCAGAAGAGTTTGAACCAAACGACAAACTCATGGAGTGTTCCCTTCAAGGTGAGCTCCAGAACAAGGAGGAGAGAGTGTTTATCAGTGGAGGCTGGTAGGGAAATCTGAGGATGGGCTCATTTGGCTGAAATGAAAAGGTATGGAATACATCAAACACATGGTGTGTTTAGTATCCAGCCATAACAATAAGCCTAACCTCCGATTTAAAGTGGCACTAGCCTCCACTGGTGTTTACTTAAAATGTTTGCTTTACAGTGTCTTTGCCCATCTATACGTGAATGTTGGTTGTGAATATCTTTTGCCTCTTGTAACACACAGCATGTGTCTCCCCCTCTTTCTTAATCATTTGTGCAGTGCACTGCGAGGTGGGTGAGTGGGGCGAGTGGAGCCCCTGCTCCCGGTCAGGGAAAACCTGTGGATTTAAATGGGGTGAGGAGACGAGGACCCGGGAAGTTGTCCAATTCCCTTCCGCCTACGGAAAACCCTGTCCCACCATCTCAGAAAATAAAGAGTGTGTCCTCAAGAGGAGGCAATGTCCAGGTAAATACAATAATACCTATATGGTGATCATCAGTAGTAGGACAGCTCACTATCTCCATTGTGAGTACAGTTGTAGGCTAGAGTTCCAGAACCAACTTTGTCTCTAGACTATAATCTGAAATTACTGGTCAGTCTTCTGCCACTCCTCTCCCCTCCTTAAGGGACCTGAATTGTTGACTTTAAGGATATGCATTGTGGATGATGGTGAAACGCCTGTGTGTTGTCGCTCCAACGTTACAGATTATAAAATATGTCAAAGCACTCGATTTTTCCTCGTAAATCTTGATCTGATGATTTCTAATGAATGAGCAAAAATATGTTTTAAACCGAAGCTAAACAGAAACAGAGTGTTTGTAAGAAGGGGGGAGGGGTGGGGACTCAGAAAAACATATTTGCTTGTTGCTTATTATATTTGTGTGTGTGGTTTGTTAGTCATTGGTGGCTGAGGGGAGACTGATCTTTCAGCAGGCCCTGACTGTAGTGTTAAGGGACAGATAGCAGGCCCTCAGCCCCCCAGGCCCTCAGCTCCCCAGGCCCTCAGCTCCCCAGGCACTCAGCTCCCCAGGCACTCAGCTCCCCAGGCACTCAGCTCCCCAGGCCCTCAGCCCCCCAGGCCCTCAGCCCCCCAGGCCCCAACCCCCAGGCCCTCAGCCCCCCAGGCCCTCAGCCCCCCAAGGCCTCCAGGCAGCTTTACTTACAGCACAAACACAACCTCTCAGTAGTGATTCAGCAGAAAAGTTTACTGTGAAGCAGAAACACACAGACTCCTCAAACATCCTCCCTTGGGGAGCCATGAGGCGACGGGGGGAATCAGAATTAGTTTAGACTAATAACAGCAGCTGCCAACACACACACATGCACACCAACTTGTCCCTTTAAAAACCATAGGCAGTCATTTGTAAAGAGTCAACTGGTTGGGTTGAATTTAGGCTGTGAAATGTGGCCTCTGCTCCTCCCTCTGTCTGTTGTCTTTCTCTCTATCTCCCCCTTTTTCTCTACCCTGCTGTTACTCTCTCTTGCACACCCCAAGAAAATACACCACCCCTCCTTCCTCCTGAATGGGGCTCCTGTTCCCCTGTCCTGTGCTGGGGTGGGGGGCTTAGTTTGGAGTTGGTGCTGTGTTGATCCGCCTGGCGGGCCGGAGCGGGGTGGAGGCAGGCCAGAGCTGTGGGTGGGTGGGTGTTACACACTGCAGGCCGAGGCCCGGTTATCACACACACACACACACACACACACACACACACACACGGTTATCGACCTTGCCCCTGCGTGTGATTACCCAGCTGCTTCCCCCGGGTCGGCCGGCCGGCTCCTGGAACATCCAGTGAGCAGGGCTAATTATCTGCTCTGGCGCGTCCCCTCCGCTCCGTGTTTACGTTCCGCATACGCCACGGGGTCAGTGGTCCGACCTCCGCCAGCTCGCACTAATCCCCACCAGCCCCTCAGACACTGATACATCCTCCTCCCTCTATCCCTTCACCCCTCCATCACTCCCCAAGGGCCTCCGTCCATCCCCAGACCATACCAGGTTTATTTGTTATTTCTCCATCCAAGTTTTGTCTTTCTCTAGAAAGCTCTCTCACTCTTCCCCGCTCCCTCCAGCTCTCCCTTATGGCTGTTGTTTTCTAACTTCTTCTCTTTTGGCTCTCTCCATTCTGTCTTTTCTGTTTTTAAGCAGAACATTGTAACCTCCCTGTCACCCCCAGTCTTCCCCCTCCTTATGAATCAGAGAGCAGGAATTCTCAATCTGAATCAAGGGGGTTTTACGCTCCTTATCATAAAAAATGACAACAGGAGCTGGTTCAATACATAGAGAAATATGGAATGTCACTGAATGAATCACGGGGCAAGAACCCTCAATCTTCCTCTTTAACACAACTCTAATTTGGTCGTTCCATCTCTAGTAAGCTCTGTTGAGCTACAGTAGCCAGAGGTGTCATGTAATTTCAGTGTACAGTGTCCTCCTCCCCCTCCTTCAACATTGCTTGGTCGTCGTAAATGTTTACATACGTGTCATCGCCCGCTGCCTGCCTGCTGTCTCCTTTGTGTTAACAACGTCGGCTAATTTGTCCTCCAAACCACCATTCCCTATCTATCTAACCCAGCTATATGGAAGCCCCCTCCCGCTACCCAGTGAGGGGGAGCGGGCCAGGCGTCCCGTAGCCTTCAAATCACCGGGCATTTCTCCTGTGGGACAGCTCAGAGCCTTTAATCCCAGCCTGGCTCCCGCCAAAAGCCCCCTGGACGACAGTGCGCCTGCCATGGAGGATGTTGCCCCCTCTGCGTCATTAGACTAATTATGCTCCTGCACATCCCCTCTCTGACAGTGGGCCAAACTGTTTCCCCGCACACACACACAGGCACCCTAACACACACACACACCCAGTCTGCACTCCAGTGAAGAGTGCTGAGCACTGAGCAGCATGATGTCTAGTACTTTATGCAACCAATGCACTGTAGGGTTATCAGTGTAAATGCACTGCATAGGAGTGTGTGTTCGAGGGTGATCCCCAGAGACAATTTCAGCTGTTTTCTTACACTCAACTCTATCTCTTTATTTTTCTTTCTCTGTCTATCTCTCCCCAAATCTATGTTAAAATTGTAAATAATCAATACCAGATGACAGTTCAATGAAAGTATCAATTCAGCTGAGATATCTAGCTAGGGCTAAGCAACGTGAAAGCCAAGCACTTGAATAATCTCCTGTGAAGTTGCAACACTTTTGAAAGCTGTCCTTAGTTACAGGAATCTTATAATCCAGCTCTGTTGATATTACTTTTACAGTCATTTTTCACAGTCCTATTTTACAGTTTATATAAACCACATGCCTGAACCTGATCATACTTTATGTGGACACACGTCTCATCAAAATGTTAGTTTTACAATAGCCGCACCCCCATATTCACACACACACACACAAACCATAAAAAAAAACACTTCCAGTCATCCACTGCAGTGTAGCGGTGATGACCATGCTGGTAAGAATGTGCTAAATCTCTGTTGAGAGTGTTTTAATTCAAGTGTCTCCTTCGGGTCGACTGCATCGCTGGACAGTTTATAGAATTCAGACACAGTTCCAACAGACAAAAGAGCTCTCTGATAAACATACCCTGTAATCACCTCAACACGAGCACAGATAAAATTGTGCCTTGGTTTTTAGGAAACCAGAGATTATGACTAAGCCACTGATCTTTAAATGGTTATGACAAACAAAACAATGTGTGTAGAGGGGACTTCCTGTGTTGAAAGAGCCAGAGGTGGGGTGGGATGGGGGTTGGAGTCAGATTCAGAATGCTGCTCATCTCTTTCTATCATTCTCTCTCTGTGTGTCTCTCTCTATCTCCCTGTCTCTCTGTGTGTGTGTCTCTCTCTATCTCCCTGTCTCTCTCTGTGTCTCTCTCTATCTCCCTGTCTCTCTCTATCTCCCTGTCTCTCTCTGTGTCTCTCTCTATCTCCCTGTCTCTCTGTGTGTGTGTCTCTCTCTATCTCCCTGTCTCTCTCTGTGTGTCTCTCTCTATCTCCCTGTCTCTCTGTGTGTGTGTCTCTCTCTATCTCCCTGTCTCTCTCTGTGTGTCTCTCTCTATCTCCCTGTCTCTCTCTGTGTGTCTCTCTCTATCTCCCTGTCTCTCTCTGTGTCTCTCTCTATCTCCCTGTCTCTCTCTGTGTGTCTCTCTCTATCTCCCTGTCTCTCTCTGTGTGTCTCTCTCTATCTCCCTGTCTCTCTCTGTGTGTCTCTCTCTATCCTCTTCCCTCCTCTCTCTCTGTGTGTGTCTCTCTCTATCTCCCTGTCTCTCTCTGTGTGTCTCTCTCTATCTCCCTGTCCTCTCTTGTGTGTCTCTCTGCTCTTCTCCCTGTCTCTTCTGTGTGTCTCTCTCTATCTCCCTGGTCTCTCTCTCTGTGTGTCTCTCTCTATCTCCCGGTCTCTCTCTGTGTCTCTCTCTATCTCCCTGTCTCTCTCTGTGTGTTTCTCTCCTCTACTCCCGTCTCTCTTCCTCTCTCCTTTCTCTCTCTCCTGTCTTCTCTGTGTGTTCTCTCTCTCTCCCCTGTCTCTCTCTCTGTGTGTCTCTCTCTATCTTCCCCTGTCTCTCTCTGTGTTGTCTCTCTCTATCTCCCTGTCTCTCTCTGTGTGTCTCTCTCTATCTCTTCTCTCTCTGTGTCTCTCTCGTGTCCTGTCTCTCTCTCTCTCTCCCCCTGTCTCTCTCTGTGTGTCTCTCTCTATCTCCCTGTCTCTCTCTGTGTGTCTCTCTCTATCCGTCCTCTTTGTTCTCTCTCTTCTCCTCCCCTCCTCTCTGTCCTCTCCTCTTCTCCCTGTCTCTCTCTTGTGTTCTCTCTCTCTCTATCTCCCTGTCTCTCTCTCTGTGTGTCTCTCTCTATCTCCCTGTCTCTCTCTGGTTCTCTCCTGTCCTCTCTGTGTCTCTTCCTGTGTCTCTCTCTATCCCTGTCTCTCTCTGTGTCTCTCTCTATCCTGTCTCGTTCTCTCTATCTCCCTCTCCATCCTCCCTGTCTCTCTCCTCTTCTCTCTCGTGTGTCTCTCTCTATCTCCCTGTCTCTCCTCTCTATGTGTGTCTCTCCTTTCTCCCTGTCTCTCTCGTTGTCTCTATCTCCTGTCTCTCTGTGTGTCTCTCTCCTATCTCCCTGTTCTCTCTCTGTGTCTCTCTCTATCTCCCTGTCTCTCTCTGTTGGTCTCTTCTCTTCTCCTGTCCTCTCTCTGTGTCTCTCTCCTCTCTTCTCTGTGTCTCTCTCTATCTCCGTCTCTCTTGTGTCTCTCTCTATCCTCCTGTCCTCTCTGTGTGTCTCTCTTATCTCCCTGTCTCTCTCTGTTGTCCTTCTCCATTCTCTCCTGTCTCCTCTCCTCTGTGTGTCTCATCTCTTCTCCCTGTCTCTCTCCTGTGTGTCTCTCCCTATCTCCCTGTCTCTCTCTGTGTCTCTCTCTCCTATCTCCCCTGGTCTCTCTCTGTGTCCTCTCTACTATCTCCCTGGTTCTCTCTCTGTGTCTCTCTCTATCTCCCTGTCTCTCTCTGTGTCTCTCTCTATCTCCCGTCTCTCTACTGTGCTGTCTATTCCCTTCTCTCTCTGTGTCCTCTCTTTCCTCTATCTCCCTGTCTCTCTCTGTGTGTCTCTCTCTATCCCCTGTCTCTCTCTGTGTCTCTCTCTTCTCCCTGTCTCTCTCTGTGTGTCTCCTCTCTATCTCCCTGTCTCTCTCTGTGTGTCTCTCTATCTCCCTGTCTCTCTCTGTGTGTCTCTCTCTATCTCCCTGTCTCTCTCTTGTGTCTCTCTCTATCTCCCGGTCTCTCTCTGTATCTCCCTGTCTCTCTTTCTGTGTGTCTCTCTCTATCTCCCTCTCTCTCTCTCTATCTCCGTCTCTCTCTGTCTCGATCACTCTCTCGCTCTGTCACTCTCTTGCTCTCTCTGTGTGTCTCTGTTCCAGTTTCTTTCTCTCTCTCACTCACTTTCACTATCTAGTTATCTCTCGCTCTCTCTTGCTCTCACTTTCTCTCTATCCCTCTCTACACCCCCACACATTGTTTGGACCCTACACTCCTGCTGCAGGAGCAACCCACCAACCCTCTTTCAATAACGCCTCTTTCACACTGCACTATACACACACTCACACCCTACAATCTGCCTGGCCTTGTGGGATGTATGGGGGCCTCTCCTCCTCTCCTGCCCAGAGCTCAGATAGTTCAGATACAGATTACGGCTGGGGAGCGTTAGCACTAGCGCCAGCGCCAGTTTTGTCTCACCTTTGAGGCTGGTGGGCTTTCATTATTCCTGCAGACCAGAGCCAGGGAAGACTAAACAGAGTTGGATGGTAGGGCCCTATATCGCACTTGCTGGACCCCAGGAATGTGTGGGTCAGCGTTGGGCTGGAACGTGCTGCGAGCCCTTCTCTGCCTGGTCTGGATGGAGCGGAGCTCAGAGCATGGCTCGGCTGATTAATGGACACAGGCTGAAGGGGGGCCAGGGGGAGAGAGGGGCTCCGTGCCTACCTCAGCAGTTTCGCAATCCTGCTGCTTACACATGGACAGCACAACATGAAGAGGGCCAGTCTCTCTCTCTCTCTCTCTCTCTCTCTGAGGTGTTTTATATTAATGATGTGGGGCTTTTTCAGCTTTCAGTGGTAAACTCTACAACATTCCATGAAATTGATTTGTTTATGAGATGGCGCAAGAGCAGATACACTGAAGTTTATTTAAAGGCTTTCTATTTTTGACAAAGCCTATCAGTGGAGAATTGCAACAGCTGAAATAAGCCTTGCTCACAGGGTGTGGCCACTGTCTGTGATGCAAGGCTGACCTCTAGTGGTAAATAGGGAGAACACGTTTGTACTATGCCATATTACAGAGTTACTCCCCGGACAGACAGCAGGTACCTGACTAAGACTAGTGCACACTGATAAATTGGTATACAAGAGAGATTCTTGACATGATCGTCACACCCATTCTCTCTTCATGTTCATCTTATTCTGTATATCTTCATCTGAAAGTGCAGCTCCTGCCATGACCCTCAACCAGCTCTCTGTGTAAAGTCATGTAGATAATTTGAAAATATCAGAGTTTAATCTACAACAGAAATCATTATAAAGAGAGATTGAGCTGTTGACTAACAAGTATTTTCTGTAATGTGTTTTTTCCATCTCTAGGGCAAGGCAAGGGGAGGAAGGGTGAGCGGCGGGGCGAGCGTAGAAATCGGGACAACCGCCGGGACAAGGACAACCAGGGGGAAGGCCGGCGGGAGAGGAAGAAGGACAGGGAGAGGGGGGAGGCAGGTGACCGGGAGGACTCTGAGAACAGGAACAAGACAGAGCAAAGACGCCAGAGAGGCCAAAACAGAGACCCTGTTGTCTCACCTGAGGGAGGAGGTCTTGCACAGTAACGGAGCCAGGAGGAGCCCTCTCACTCCACCCCCTCTTTGTCCCCCTCGCCCCCTCAACTCCTTGCTGAAGGGGTGCTGCTGCTACCTGTATTATTTAAATATATACTGTATATGCACAAGAGAGATGGGGTCACTCGATCGGGCCACTACAGACTCTAAGGACTTACATACCTACCCCTACATACCTACCTATCTTCCCCCCTCCACCACACACCACTGAGAGGCCGCCTCCCCCTTCCTGTCCTGTCCTCTAGTTTCACCAGACCAGAGAGACCCAAGACTGCTGTTGATTGGACGGGAATGTACAAAACTGCTCTTGTGATTGGATGGGACTGTACAGAGAGGAGAGGAGTGAGACATTCAAATGTGACAGTATGGGGATGATGATGTGTTTGTCATTGGGAGTCGGGACAATGTAAATGCTTGTTGAATCGGTTATTTAAAAGGGTCCCGCCCAGTTAAAAACAAACTTTGCGTCTTGGTTTGAATGTAGGTTTATTTTGTGACATTATGTAGAATTGTTGTTGTTGTTTAAATGTCTTTATGTTTTTGTTTGTTGTTTTTTGTGAGTAAATTATCATGAGATATCACTAACAGAAAGACAGACAGTCAGATGTGGTTACTGCATGCAGATGTATAGTAAACATATGGCAAACCGACTGAATTGATTTTGTGACAGAATGAGGACGGACCCCAGTGTTTTCCTCCCAACTTATTATTGGTCATGTTTGTTCAGAAGTGTCCTGGACAAAGTGCTAGTTTGCCTATCTGTGTAAGCAGGATCTGTGCTTTCACTAAAGCCACCTGAGCAGAAATCAAAAGCATCTGTGTGTCAAATAAACTATAATGGGTTTGTACTTGTCTTTGTTTTTCATTTGTTATCTTTGGGCAATTCTATGCCAGAAAAGATGCCAGAAAATATTTTTGGTATCTCAGATTGTTCTGGCAATTCTCACATAAAACTTCATTCGGAGGAAGGATGTTTGATATGCTTTTTAAATTTGTATCACAAACCATTTGGGGGAAAATCATGATAGAATTGGCCAATTTAAGCACGTTGCTGAATGTGCAATCCCAAAGGAGGGCTGTGATTGGTTAATGACCTATAATGTCAATTTATATGTATAAAATAGGTAATATATTCAAAAGTAACAGAGCAAAAGTACCCACTCTGAAAAGTTGATGTACTTGTAGAGGATACTGTTTAAAACCATGTCTAAAAATGAACCAAATCAAAAAGGGTACTTTTGAGATATTAATATAAATGTTGTTTTTTCAACAACAACAAAAATTTATTTCAGAATCAAGACATTCTCCATATTTTAGAGGGCACTACAAGGAGTATAATGACACCATGATGTTGTCTTTATCATGTACCGTTCATGGATCATAGGGTCTTACAGGAGACACGTATAGGTCTAAAAGGGCCTAATTGGCCACTTTCATCATGATTTTCCCCCCAAAAAATTGTTTGTGATACAAACTCCATCAATAAACACTCTCCTGGGACCTGCCATTCTAATTTCAGATTCACTGAGGTTGCTTAGTTTTTGCACGTTTTTTGAAGATATATCCATCATAAACACAGTTGTTTATATAGGCCTTCACATATATTTCATTAAATAGATGGTCATAGACAGTCAAAGAACTGTCAGTGACATGCTGAATCACACCCACCACAACCTTACTTACTCTTATTCAGGACTCCAATTGCATTGTATAACATTGAGCCATTAGTACGTCCATTTTAGCCTTGTGAGGGGAATGGCCCGACGCTCCGACGCTGGCCAAATGCTCCGTCTAAACGCAAATACAGTTTCGGAAACATTTGGAATTTAACTTTCATATAATCGAGAAATATTTTTTCATATCCAAAAGATACACTTACTGTACGCAGTTTAGGACTGTTGCATCCAGTTGTATTTTGAGAAATACATGCGATCCAGTCGGAAATGTGGAATGGAATGGTCCAATGGAAATGAGATCGCAAGGTGAGAGAATGTGTGTGAAAACAGCCAGGTGCAACTTTGCAAAACTGCTCACAGTAAGTGTATCTTTTGTATTTAATAATAATACAATTGAAATAATCTTTCTCGATACATGAAAGTTAAGTTCCAAAGGTTTTTATTGCTAGAAGGATTAATAACGTTTCTAAACATTAAAACAGTGTCGGGATTGTAGTCATTGATCCAGCTGTTGTCCATACATTCAATTGAGAACTCAAGGGCTGTGTACACTGTAAAAAAAATAAATAATAAATCTAGTTGTTTCAACTAAATATTATGAAGTAACTGGTTCCACAGCCTTTTGTTTGTTTACTCAACTTTTCATTTTTTGTTGGCCAAAACGTTGCTTCAACGTGAGAAAACGTAGGCAAAAATCAGTCAACTTAAAATGTTTGCTCAATTTTGTCTCGTGTTAATTCAACTAGAAAATTATTAATTTGTCATTTTACCAACAGAAAAAGGCTGTGGAAATAGTTACACACACAGTGCTTTTAACATCCAACGTTTTCAACTTACATATTTGACACATTATTACATTGTGCATGTTCATTTAAACAGTAATTGGTATTCACCTGGGATTTGAACTCACAACCTCTTGGCTCACAGCATACCAATATTCCTGCTATGCCACCATGTCTGTGTCAATAACATATTTGACCCATGTTGACATACATGATTTCATTGTGCATGTTAATTTCTACAGCAATTAGTATTTGAACTCACAACATCTTGGTTCACAGCGTTCCAATCTTCCTGCTACGTCACCATGTCTGTGTCAATTACGGATTCACCTGTATCTACGGGGATAGCAGCCTTAGTTCGTTCCAAGATCTTAAAGATAGATTGAAACTATCTGGCTTATCATTTTTCATCTACAATTTAGGTCTGCCCTTAGGCCTCATGGTGTTCATTGGCAGTCAGCTTTGACGCTACATCCTATGCATAAGATTTTGAGTTTAAGATCGAAACAAAGGGTCTAGTTTCCAAAATGTATCATATTTTTTACTTTAAACTTCTTATAAACCTCTTCCTCTCAATACTCTGTGGAAAAGAGAACTTCCAGGTTTGGATCAATGTTTTAGTTGGGACTGCATCTCCTTATGTTTTACTTTTAAATGATTAATCTGTTTTTCATTTATCTCTATGTCAGAAGTGCATTCTTCTCGCTGGCCTAACGCCTTCAAAACAATGATTGCAGTACGATGGAAGCCTCCACACTCACGTCAATCGATCCTCTTTTTTGGATGTAATTTATATGGAGCATTCTACTGCTAAAGAAGACACTTTGAACCAATGGCTTCTTGCCGCTGAAACACTTCGTGATGTGTTGCTTTCATGTATTTTATTTTGTATTTTGAACCGTTTATTTAATTTGATCCCTTAGGTCCTCGGGTGGGGTGGGATTGGGATGGGGGGAGTATCTTCATTTTGTATGTATTCATGTTTGCTGACAATTATTATTAATAAATAAACATTTGATCAAAAATAAACTTATTTCACCTGTATTGCTACACTTTGCACTTCAAAGTAAATCTCAGCTCTGTTAAAAGTACACTCAAGTATAACTATTTTATTTCTCATAGTGATTAAGGAGTAACATTAAAACAAAGTAATAAACCCCACCAACATTAGACAACTATACAGAAAAATCTAAAATTGCTTAAATAAGTAAATCAAAATCAATGATGACAGAATAGTCAGATTAACTGATAATTGACACAGACATTGTGGCATAGCAGGAAGATTGGAATGTCATGAACCAAGAGGTTGTGAGTTCAAATCCCAGGTGAGGACATTGAATATTAATTACTGTATAAATGAACATGCACAATGTAATCATATTTCAACGTGTATCAAATATGTAAATTAAAAACATTGTATGTTAAAAGTGCTGTGTGTGTAACTAAACTGAACAAAAATATAAACACAACATGCAACAATTTCAAAGATTCTACTCAGTACATATACGGAAATCAGTTAATTGAAATAAATAAATTAGGCCCTAATCTATTGATTTCACATGACTGGGTATGCAGACCTACATCTGTTGGTCACAGATACCTTTAAAGAAAAAGTAGGGGCGTGGATCAAAAAACCAGTCAGTATCTGGTGTGACCACCATTTGCCTCATGCACCGCGACACATCTCCTTCACATAGAGTTGATCAGGCTGTTGATTGTGGCCTGTGGAATGTTGTCCCACTCCTCTTCAATGGCTGTGCGGAGTTGCTGGATATTGGCGGGAACTGGAACACGCTGTCATACACATCGATCCAGAGCATCCCACACATGCTCAATGGGTGACATGTCTGGTGAGTATGGAAGAACTGGGACATTTTCAGCTTCCAGGAATTGTGTACAGATTCTTGCGACATGGGGCCGTGCATTATCATGCTAAAACATGAGGTGATGGCGGCAGATGAATGGCACGACAATGGGCCTCAGGATCTCGTCACGGTATCTCTGTGCATTCAAATTGCCATCGATCAAATGTTAATTGTTTTCATTGTCCGTAGTTTATGCCTGCCCATACCATAACCCCACCATCACCATGGGGCACTCTGTTCACAACGTTGACATCAGCAAACCACTCGCCCACACAATGCCATACACGCTAGCTGACAGTTTGTGCAGAAATTCTTCGATTGCGCAAACCCACAGTTTCATCAGCTGTCCAGGTGGTTGGTCTCAGATGATCCCGCAGGTGAAGAAGCCAGATGTAGAGGTCCTGGGCTGGAGTGGTTACACGTGGTCTGCGGTTGTGAGGCCGGTTGGACGTACTGCCAAATTCTCTCAAATTAAGTTTGAGCCGGCTTATGGTAGAGAAATTAGCATTCAATTCTCTGGCAATCGCTCTGGTGGACATTCCTGCAGGCAGCATGCCAATTGCACGCTCCCTCAAAACTTGAGACATCTGTGGCAATGTGTTGTGTGACAAAACTGCACATTTTAGAGTGGTCTTTTATTGTCCCCAGCACAAGGTGCATCTGTGTAA